TTTTTTATGAATAGAAACGACAGCATTTATTTGAAATATAATTTTTTTGTCACATTATAAATGTCTTAACTGTGACTTTTGATCAATTTAATTGCTAAATAAATACATTTTTAAAAAGATGCACCGAACTATTGAATGGTAGTGTATGACGGTTTCCACAAAATATTAAATAATTAAATTAAATATATAAAAATAAAATCTCAATGACGAATTCTGCAGATTACAATGATTTCTGAATGATCACGTGACGCTGAACAATGAAGTAATGGCTGCTTCATGGATTATGGGATTTTACATGGATACATGTTCCGTGGTAGTGGAGGTGAATTACACTTGCATAATAGCGCTATCTAGTGGACTCAGTATATCAATTAATCTGTGCTAAAAATATATTCTAATATTCACCTTGGCGTGACAAATAAGAATCTTTGTCTTTTAAACACTTTTTGTGCTAACAAATTGTGTATAATTATTTTCTGTGTATTATCTTTTGCTTTAACATGTAAACATGCTATCTTATATCATTATGAGCTAAGCATGTGATACAGTAGTGTAGGGCCTGGGCATAACTGGACCTCTGCTTTAGTTCTTTGTGATATCCGATGGTAGCTGATTTTACATGGTTTCTAGCTGAAACAGACTGGTTCAGTCTTTAGCTGATGGCTGATGTAAGCATTTAGATGAAGGATCAGCTGGACTGCCAACTGGTAGGGCTGAGATCAATTTGTTGGTGGTCAAGCTTGTTAGAGCTAGAAGAGGAACTTGGACCAACAGAGTAATGTACACAGGACAAGATATATTAAGACAATGTGATTTCTGCATTTTATGTTGAAGTTATATATGTATGTATTTATTTATTTAGTGGCATTTTAGCACTGCGATCTGGATAACTTCTGACCCTTGACTGATTCTTTCTTTCCATATTAATCAACATATACATTAAATGTAATTAATTAGGGAATTATGTCATGTGTAAAAATAGTCAATGAAATGCCAGCAGGCTACACTTTTTATTTTAAATGTCACTTTATATTAATCCCAATACACTATACTGTTCCAAAGTTTGGTATCCGTTTTTTAAAGAAATATGATCAGCCAGGATGCATTTACTTGATCTTAAGTGACAGTAAAGACATTTATGTTGTTTAAAAAAAAAGAATGAGAAAAAGAAAAAAAATCCCTTTTTAAAACTTTCTATTCACCAAAGAATCCTGAACAAATGTATCACTGTTTTGTAACAAAAAAAAAACATTTTCAATGAAATTTCATTTTCAACATTGATAGTAATAAATGTTTCTTGAGCAGCAAATCAGCAGATTAGAATGATTTTTGAAGGATCATGTGACATTGAAGACTGAAAATTTAGCTTTGCCACTGCTGAAATAAATTACATTTTAAAATACATTACATTATACATAATACATTAAAATATGTTATTTTTATATTATATAATATCTATAATATTTATCTATTATTAGTATTATTTTATATATGCTTTATTTTATTTTATATATTTAAATATATTTATATATTTTATTATTTTATTTATTTTATATATTTGCCCTTTCTTT